GAGGGGGGGGCGGTGGATGGAGATGGGGGGGGGGGAGAGAGAGAGACACACACGCACAGAAGCGAGAACGGGAGAGAAAGAGAGAGGAAAAAAAAAAAAAAGGCTGACAGGGAGTGAGACTTGCGTAGCACATTCACATTCACATTCACAATCACATTCACATTCACATTCACATTCACAATCACAATCACAATCACATTCACACGACGCAAACAATTGCTTTGCGGAGTGTTGGAGCCCCCTCCCGAAAACTACCATCTTCTATCGGAGCCACGAACCTATACATCCGGAGTCTTCTTAAACAGGTCTTGGTTGAGCTTAAAAATATCACGCCATACGGCATCAATTAATACGGTTGGGCCTGCAAATAAATACCACATCACTTACGTCCAAAGTCTTCTTGAAGAGGTCTTGGTTGAGCTCTTCGAACTTGGCACGTGTAAGGGAGAGCGAGAAGTCGATGCCGTCGTGAAGCGCCTCCACGGTAATCGTCGCCTGCGACAAAAAAAAAAAAACACGAACGTCAGTTGCACACCAGCAAGGACGTTAGAAGAACGTGCTGCGCAGAAATCAGAACGGTGTTTCATGGGCAAAAATACAACGACGCCAACGACAACAGCAACGACAGCAGCAACAACAACAACAACAACAACAAGCAGCAGCAACAACGCCAACGACTACACTGTATGCGAAACACCAGTGTGATGCAAATGAAGCAAACATAAACCCAACCATTTCGGGGGGCTGGAAACAGAAAAGAAAACACACCGTCGGCAAAACCCTTCCCCGTTTTCATCCCGCTACGAGCCAGGCATTTTCATCCGTCAGCCGGCTGGTGCTATCCATGTTATAATAGTACACATATACATGCATATCCTTACACATGCCGAGACAATCATATTGGCATTCGCATTTGGTGCCTCGCGTTTTTTTCGAATATTTGGCCTCTTCCAGGAACCTTGATTTTACTCGTTACACTTTAACGTATTTTTATCGGTCAGCAGGTTAGCGCGGTCGATGCTATTACTAGCACCCACACGCATGTACAGCACTAGTAAAACGGGTCAAACCCATGACCACACACACACTCACACACATGTACAAAAGAAGTAAAAGGGGTCAAACACATTGCCGTGAGTGATTGCCTGCCCACCTGAGTCTGGCTGGACAGGGTCCGCTTTGCCAGCTCGCACTGCCGCCTCAACCGTTGCACGGCCCGCTTGTTGTCGGACACGTCCACGCCGTTGGTGCGCTTGAACTGCTCGGGTCGTACGTTCGTGTGTTGGTGTTCGATCGATTGATTTATCGATCCAGATACGGCCCGATTCCATCCGATCCGATAACGGCAGAAGGACGAAGGAGGGCGAGAGGGCGAGAAAGAGATAGGGACATACAGGAAGCCATACAGAGAGACAGACAAGGAAACAGACAGAGACAGAGCACACCAAGAGGGAGAGCCAGAAAAAAATAAAGGCAGACAGACAGAGAGCCAGAAAGAGAATGGGAAGCACAGACAAACAGACAAACAGACAGACAGAGAGACAGACAGACAGACAGTGGAGAGAGAGGTGAGCAACCTACACGTGCATTCATGCAGCAGAGGGCAGGCGTCCGCACAAATCAAATCCTAGCAGGGCCTCCACGCCACCTTTCCTGCAGAAAACCGGAACAATACGAGTCCGCTCTCTTGCGTATGCATGTACAGCACAAAGGAAAACCAAACGTTAAGGGCATACTGGCAAATACCTACTTCTGGCTCCTGCATATCTACGACGGCGAACCTAAGTGTTACCTAAGGCCTACAACACAGTTTCCTCCGGGTTGGCACTTAAACACTTGCATTATGACCACCAACCTAGTGTTTGCCTACAAGTTACACTACTGGTACTCACTTGTCAGATGTAAACGACAAATATCGAAATGATCATCCGGGGGATCACCCTTACCGACCTCACTCCTGAAATCTACCGTAATAAGCGGAGAGATGGCAAAACCACCATTATTGGTGTTGGCACAATCGCCTGATTGCCTGATTGTGGAGCAAATCGAGCTTTGAAAATCGGTCTGAGGGGGGGGGGGTGCCATCTCCCCGCCTCTTACGGTGCTTTTTGAGTGGATGTTCTGATACTGAATGTAAGGAAGCAAGCCACACCATGGGTGACGGTGTGCCCGGGCGTATGCATGTATGTGCATACAGCGGTGTGTGGGCCGATGCGGCATTTCAGGGAACACCTACGCAC